TTTACCTGTTTCTGGGCCCCCCAATCTGCCACCAGTCGGCGGGGGAGCCCCGCCCCCAAAGAGCCCAGTCAGCACCAACGTGCCCGACACAGTGATGTCACCCAGAGGTGATGGGATCATAGTGGGCACATTGTGCAGGGGATGTTCTAGCATTTGAGAAAAAACTCTATGGTTACCATAGAGTTTTTTTTTCCACAAATGCTAGAGCGTTCCCCTGCAACGTGCCCTGTGCGATGATGTCACTTCCAGGTGATGTCATTGCAGCATGCGCACTTCACACGCATGCTGAAAAGTCCCAGGAACTGAGAGGGACCCTGCCCACACCAGCAGCTAGGTAAGACCAGGCAACCCGTGAGGGGGACACTCTACAATCTGTGCTAAGTATGGAGAATCAGTGAAAATTACCCCCCCGCCACCTCTAGGCTGGACTCAACTGGTCACTTCCACTGTAATTTCATGATAACATTGAACTAATTTGATTTTTTTAAATTAGCCTATGTTTCAAACCTGATAATAGAGAAGGGTGTGTATGTTTGTGTGTATGGCTTTAAGACTACGTGGTCTTTCTTTGACTATCTAAATGCACTGTCCTGTTTCTGAGAACGCGAGAACCTCTACCGTGAAGTTTTATGAGGCGCTCATCTTCGTTCAAAACACAGAAAACAAAGCATTGTACAGTAATGTCTCTCTCTTGAGGTAACACGCCACCCAGCCGCCATCTTGGCTGAATGATGCGCTACAGATATGAGCTTGGATGCCGGCCTGCAGTAACCACATCATTTGTGGTATGGATGCCAGCTGTCTAGGAAAATTTCCGCACTTTGAAGTGGCTTTGAGCCGCCGGTGGTCTTGGTGCTCAGTATCTCACTGTGAGCTTTCAGGAGTGGTAGGGACCAGTGTTCCCTCTAAGCTGAGTTAGTGTGAGCTAGCTCACAGTTTTTTAGTCTCCGGCTCACACATTTTTGTCTTCGCTCAGGAAAGATGGCTCCAGAGCAAATTAATGTATGCAGTATTTATTTTTATTTACATTCAGCTTATATCCCGCTCGAACCCCTCCCACGGGGTCTCTGAGCGGCTTACATAGTTTATTATCCCTAACTATGGGCACATATATCATTGGGGCGGGACTGCCTACCAGCACCCAGTGGGGTTCAGTTGGTATTTCCTCGGCTTGTCTTGGCTCAGCTCCTGGCTTCAGCTCGGCCTCTCCATCCACTCTCGCTCCGCCGCGCCTGCGCCGCTGGGTCTTTTGCGCTTCCTAGCTTCGCCTCTGCCGCCGGTCCACCGCTCAAAGTTACGTCTTTCTTTTACTTCTGCTCGCCACCTCGCCTGCCGCCGCCATTACACACCGCTCCGCTGCCGCCGCCGCTTGCCGAATCTCCACTGCTAAAGTCCCACCTTACCTCCCAGTGGAGGAGGGTGCTCCCTGCCTTCTAAGGCAGGTACCCATTCATCTACTCGCAAGTTGTTAAGGCTTTGGAACCGCTGGGTGGGCGGGAGCTGGGACTAGGGCCGGGTGCTCACTCCGGCTGCGGTGGGTCTCGAGCAGCCTACAGGCTGTTTGCTAGATGTTAAGGCAGGTGCTTTTGCTCCCTGTGCCACCGCTCCCCGATGTAGCCAAATCGCTTGCTCACAACTTCAATACCAGTAGCTCACAAAGTAGAATTTTTGCTCACAAGACTCCACAGCTTAGAGGGAACATTGGTAGGGACCTTAGGAGAGAGCGAAAATCCCCAGAACTCTTATGAGTTATACCCTTGCCCGGAAACCAGGGGGTGAATACCAACAATGTACCATGTGCTAATTTAACACCACATGGTATGCAAGTTATAGTGTCCTGCCAGTGTGGAGTAGTGTTTAGAGTGCTGGACTAAAATATGGGCGCCCTCCGATCAAATCCCCACTCAGCCATGAAGCCTCACCTACTTCGAGGAACTTCTGTTGGGGACAAAACTGAGGAAAGAACCGTATATTTGTAAGAAGGGTGGGATACAAATGTATGGCGAGGTGGTTGAGGTGAATTAGGGCTCTTCTTTGTTTCTGGGTGTGGATATGTGTTAGAATCTATTAACCGCCCGACAGGATATCGAGGGACGCCATCTTACCACCTGCTTAGATAGCCAGTTGCCACTTGTCAAACGATTATCTGTATTCGTTCATGGTTTTAAGCAGGGTCGCCATAAGCCGTATCTCATCAGCCCCATCGTTTCTTAAATAAGTGTAAGCGCTATTCTTATCGGGGTCTGCTTTGTGTGTGCTTCGGTAGCCGAAACTCAAGGGCGGCAAACGATTTATCTGGCGATTGTAAAATGCGTAAGGAACACGTGATGATGCTTTTTACAGATAGTGATGGTATCTCAGGGTGTGGAGCCACCGCCTCTTGGCTGGGAATTCCTTTGCCTTCTTCAGCTTCTTGCTTTAAGTGTTGGAGATGCCTCAAGCTGACGGTCGGTCTCCCAACAAAAGAAGAAAGAAAGAAAGACACTCGCTTGTTCTGTCGGATCTGAGAAGCAGATTCTCATAGGCATCAATGAATAACCGTGTAGTCCAGGCTAGATAGATGTCTTTAGGTCTGGGAAGCTAAGCTGGGTGAGACCCCCAAGGACGGAGGCAGCCAATGGCAAAGCCACCTCCGAACGTCTCTTGCCTCAAAAACCCTAATGGGTCACCATATGTCAACTGTGAATGGATGGCAAAAAAAATAAAATAAGGAGATCGAGGTAAACAAGGGTCCTAGCGAGCAGTAAGATGCTTAAAGGTAAAGGTTCCCTTGCTCGAAAGCCAGTCGAGTCCGACTCTAGGGTTGCGGTGCTCATCCCCGTTTCAAAGCCGAAGAGCCAGCGCTGTCCGAAGACGTTTCCGTGGTCATGTGGCCGGCATGACTAAACACCAAGGCGCACAGAACGCTGTTACCTTCCACCGAAGTGGTCCCTATTTATCTACTTGCAATTTCTTGCTTTCGAACCGCTAGGTTGGCAGGAGCTGGAACGAGAGACGGGAGCTCACTCCGTCATGCGGCAACCCGGGTCTCGGACTGCTGAACTACTGACCTTCCACAGCCTGCAGCTCAGCGTCTTAACCACTTGAGCCACCGCAGCTCCAGTAAGATGCTTAGAAAGACATAAAAAAATTAGTAGTGATTAAATTGTTGGACGAGGACTTGGGAGACCCAGGTTCAGGTCCCCACTCTGCCATGAAGGCTTGCTGGGTGACCTCGGGCCTGTCACACGCACTCAGCCTAGCCCTACCTCGCAGGGTTGTTGTGAGGTTAAAGCAGCAGATAGGAGAACGATGTGAGCTACTTTCTGGGGGAGAAAGGTGGGGTATAAATGGAGCAAATCAATAAATAAATTCCACTTAAGTCTCTACCAAGCTGATGGCAGACTTTTTTATACCGGAGTTGTCACCCACGGGGATTTGATGGGTGACGAGAAGCCGGGAGAGTGGTGGAAAAGTTACTGGGGCCCGATCTTCTTCAAACAAAGCAATATGAATGGCACAAGCAGTGACAATAGTAAAGGTAAAGGTTCCCTTGCTTGAAAGCCCGTCGAGTCCGACTCTAGGGTTGCGGTGCTCATCTCCGTTTCCAAGCCGAAGAGCCAGCGCTGTCCGAAGACGTTTCCGTGGCCTTGTGGCCGGCATGACTTCACACCAAGGCGCACGGAACGCTGTTACCTTCCCACCGAAATGGTACCTATTTATCTACTTGCAATTTCTTGCTTTCGAACTGCTAGGTTGGCAGGAGCTTAACAATAGTTAAACTTAATTTTTTTAAAAAATATATACACATTGATTAATTTTCATCTATATTCAGTGCACGTGCAGTTTAACATGTGATGCAGACCATGCATTCATCCGAGTACTCGTCCCCGGTTTCAGTTGCAGGGTTGAACGGACATTGGCATGTCTTAACAAACCGATGTATGCGCATGCACACAGGACGTTCAGTTTCCCTTTCCTTTTATTCCCTTAGAAGTTCATTAATTTACACATCTTGAGCAGCAGAAAATTGCCTGTTTATTTTTCCGATCCAAGGGATAAAAGGACTGAAACAGATTTCGCCACTGGCCAAAGTAATCTTAGGATCGTTATCTCTCAGCAAATAAAACAGAGATTCCGAAGGCTAGGAGGACGTTCACTTTAGCACGCAGACAGGGCTGATTCCAACAGGGCAGCACAGCGGAGCCTTGGAACCTGGGTAGGTGGACGGAAGACCCCACAGGGATGCCTCTAAGGCAATCAGTAGACTGATCTGTGAACCCTGATGAGAGCTAGAGTCCTTGCTTTGACCACTTGCATCTTGGAAAGTGCATTTCTGACCTAATGAGAGAGAAAGGCAAATTAATTTGCTAGGATAGATCCAGGTGGGGTAGCCGTGTTGGTCTGAAGCAACAGAGCAAAGTTTTAGTCCAGTGTGGCACCTTTAAGACCAACAAAGTCTTAAAGGTGCCACTGGACTCAAACTTTTTTCTGTTGCTTCAGATAAACATGGCTACCCCACCTGAATCTAACTTGTGATAGTGTACAGAACAGAAAACCTTTATTGGCATAACACAGATAAACCAGAACAAGGGATAGTACTAAAACAACGTCAACCAATATTCCCAGTATCTCAAAATACAAAGCAATCCTAACATGGTTTACGAGATTTACAGAGTACTACTCTTGACTTCCATACATAAGTCAAAAATTCAGCGACAGGTAGTGTTATTGCTGGACTCTTGCCTGCTAGAAAGAAATTTAAATCCCTATCCAGAAAATCTCTCTGCACAGGGAGAAGCGGGCGAATCAAAACATTGCGCATAGAGAAATATTTAGGACAGTGAAAGAGAATATGGGTGATAGAATCAGGTTCCCCAAGATTACAGTTACAGAGTCTATCCTTGTATGGCACACCCCTGTATCTACCGGAGACCACTACTGAGGGGAAAAGGTTGAACCTTGCAAGCATAAAACCCCTCCTAAAGACTGGAATTGTCAAATTAGCGATATATGGTACCATGGAGGTATGCAAGGGGAGGAGGGGTAATGAATAGGGAGAACAAACTCCAAGACTACCGGCATTAATGATCTGCGCCTCTATATCCCAAATTCTCCTCCTTACCACCTGCAAGATTGCTACCTCACCACAGTTATAGAGGGGTTCCAGATCAATACCTAGGGTACCCACCTTTTTCACTATGGCCTGTGACCACTCTGATGCATAGGGAACAGCTAAATGTTGGACCATTAGGCTAGCAGGAGGAGATCGAAAGTGGAGCCAATAGTGTACAAGATTTTGTGTTCTCTGCGGTTTTTCACCAGGTTGGATACCTGATGAAGAGTGCTTCAGAATTTGAAAACTTGCACATCGTTTTGGGGTATTTTGACCAGGTCCTTTTCCCCCCTCTCCTTTTAAAGAGATTCCATTGCAGCTACCTGTAACTTTTATTCTCTGACAATTACCCAGTCACGCTCCCTCTAAGCTGTGGAGCCTTGTGAGCAAAAATTCTACTTTGTGAGCTACTGGCATTAAAGTTGTGAGCGAGCGATTTGGCTGCTGCATAAATCAGTTTGCTCTGGAGCCATCCTTCCTGAGCGAAGACAAAAATGTGTGAGCTGGAGGCTAAAAAACTGTGAGCTGTCTCACTCTAACTCAGCTTAGAGGGAACAGTGATCGCCACATGTTTCAAAAGGACTCACAAATGTTCCAAGAAATTTAAGAACATGATCAGTCCTGCCTCAGAGTGGTCAACCCATTTCTCATACGATGGGTACCAGAGAGAGATCTCCCTCGAAACACATCCTCTTACATAGAGGCTTCACCTATAGATTTTGAACCGATCCAAGGCATTTGCTTCGTCCGAGCAGGCATTTTATAAGTAGTTTCGTAAAGACGGGTGCAAGTTCTTGCTTGTGCTCTGTTGCTTTTCATCCGTGTTTTTACATTTCATGGATTTTGTTGGTCTCCTTGAGTTTCCTTCAAGGTACGTACGTAAGTGCCATCAAGCCGCAGCCGATGTATGGCGACCCCAAGAAGAGGCTTTCAAGGCAAGTGAAAAGCAGTGGTGGTTGGCCATGGCCTTCCCCTGCACACATTTCCTTGATCGTCCCCCTTCCAAGTAGAGAGCCAGTTTGGTGTAGTGGTTAAGTGCACGGACTCTAATCTGGGAGAACCGGGTTTGATTCCCCACTCCTCCACTTGCACCTGCTGATGTGACCTTGGGTCAGTCACAAGCTCTGGCACAGCTGTCCTTGAAAAAGAGCAGTTTGTGTCAGAGGTCTCTCAGCCCCACCCACCTCACAGGGTGTCTGTTGTGGGGAGGGGAAGGGAGAGGAGTTTGTAAGCCCCTCTGAGACTCCAAGTGAAGGGCGGGGTATAAATCCAATCTCCTCCTCCTCCTCCTCCTGACCCTGCTTATTTTCCAAGATCTGACAACCATCAGGCTATACCATGCCCCCTCCCCTCCTTCAGGGTAAGATGGGAGTCGGTGGAGGGGAGTTTTCAAATTTAACGTGTTGATTTGAATACCGGATGATTCGTGAAAGAATTTGGGACATCAAAGCCCAAACAATCCAGGCTGGTGCCAGGGGCACTTGTTACCCCCCTTTCCTTGGCCTCAGATAGGCACCAAATAGTATGGCCCAATATTTCTCTAATCTGGTTATCCCGCTGCAACGGAGAGCCTTTATGCTGGCCAGATTCAATGTTTTCCCCTCATCCTGGGTCTCAGGTAGGTATAGAAGCATTCCGAAATGCAACAGAATCTGCCAATGCTCACTTAGAGAACCCGATACCTTAGATCTTATTCTGCTGCGCTGCCCCTTCCATTCACATCTCCGACTATTTTTGATTAAGCCCGTACTGTCTAGAATCGATTCTGATAATGCAATCAGGTTTCTCCTTGCTGATAAGACACCAGAAGTGACTGTACAGATTGCTGAATTTCTCTCTATGATTTTGGTAGCAAGAAACTACTCTTAAGATTGGTGTGCTCTCAGATTTGTAGATGTAATTTTAGCTTGACGAAGCCCTTATCTTACTGATTTTATATGCCAGTAAAGGTTTTTGTATTGTTGTTGTTGTGTTGATTTGATCTTAGCTGGGGGCTTTGGAAGGGGAAGGAAATGGCTGGTTTTCCACAGGGTTCTGTCTGCCAGGAAGCACCAAATTGAATAGCCTTGCGATCAGAAAGCTGGGGGAGAATGTGTCTGTTTGAAGACTCACGTGCACCGTTGTAATATACAGCTTGAAAACTGACCAAACCAGGTTATGAACTGGCACAACACACACTCAAAATGGCATCAGTGTGTTGAACCAAGAAGCATTTTTGTCTCTCCTAGCTCCAGCAGTGTTCTAGGTATTTTAAGAAAGGGATTTCTGGACATGCTTGTGGAGGGTATGTCTAAATGTGCATCATTTTGCCGCCTGTGCATATCCTAGTCCTGTTTTTAACCTTGATTGGTTGTACTAAGTCCCGCCTAAAGCCAGATGTTTTCGTGTTGCGTAGAGGATGCTGGAAATTAGAGACTGCATCAAGTATAATATTTAAACCAGGTATATATATTTGGAAACCAAACAATGCTGAAATTTCAGAGAGTCATCTGATCAACCAGTGGCTTCTGTGTTTGCAGTCAGAGGTTGCTGTTGACTTCCCTTCACCCAAGAGGGCCAGAAGTATAACCCGATGCCAACTCTACATAATGCTTACTAAGTCTGTTCGCTGTTCTGTGTGGGATGGATAAATGTGTCAAAATATAATATAGAAGACATAGTCCAATGCCATTCAAATACAGTGATGAAATTAGCTATAGAAAGCCATTGTTGTACATACAAAAGACACTGATATTTTAAGAAATCCGGGACCACGCCAGATTTCTTACTGACACATACGCCAGAACTCTAATAACATAGAACAGTCTTCAAAATGTAAATAGTCCCAAAGGAGGTTTTAAGAATTCTCAGGAGTCTGGTGGACAAACTGTATGTAGGCTCCTCCAGTATTTTTTTTTTATGCATGAGCTAGCTTATACCAAGCTTTGTTTCGTCCAAGGCTTCCTCACAAAGACAAAGGCCCAAGTCTTCTGTTCCAAAACGAAAACTTTCACCAACACATTCTTTCCTTATGCAAAGTTGCTTTCAGCTCAAATCATAGTCAGATAGATCTGCTCTCAATCCAGAATATGAGATCCAGAGTATGAATTCGAAGACAAGGTTTCTGGATTTAATTTCACTTGTTTCAAATAAATCTCTTCTTCAGCATTTGTGAGAGGTTTAAAGCAGTTAGGAGCAATAGGGTATGATCCCAATTCGGAGTATCAACTCATTCACAGAAAGACACATAGTAACACACAATATTAAGGCACCAGTCCAATTTCTTACAGAGACCAACGGTTCAAAAGATTTCTAAGGTCATACTCTAGACTGGGAGCAGATCTCGTTGAGTATCTCATAGCCCTTGCAGAATTAATTTTGATTGTTTACTTGCTGCCTACTTGTGAGTAATTGGTTTACTTTTTGTAAACTCAAGATTTGGATGACTATTACTTATTTTTTATTGCCTCTAAAGTTTCTTGTTTAGTGCATGGATTTTCTATATAGTTTCTATGTGCGGTGGCAGTGGTTTCTACTATTTTATGTTTCTTTAAGTAGTCAGTCATTATCTTGGGTTCTATGTGTTTGGATTTATATAAAGCTCTGTAAGGTTCTAATAATGGAATTTGTTTTCTCTTTGTTTGTAGATTCCCTTTTGAGTCACATAATAAGTGTATATATCAGGATGTCTTGAGCTCTTTGACCCTCCATGACAGAATTTTTAATGTTCTTGGGGTTTTATGCCGCTGTTTTTGTCTAGCGTATTATAAATCTTTTTGTATTTGATTTGAGGTGATAGTTTCTAGCATTTTTTCTGCAATTAATTCCTTATGTGTTTTCTTATTTCCAGTTGTTTTGTGAAGAAGTTCTAATTTATGTATCTTTGCTTGTATAGCCTTTATTTTTTACTGTCAGTTTCTGTTATGAAACTTAGTTACTTTACTTCTTTATTGCAGTTATTGGAATAGGTTTTGTAGTAGATGAATCGTTTTGTTAAGAAATAGTCGCAGTTATTTAAGGGGGGAAAAACATTTGCTGTGTTTTGCGCTTTCTTTCACTGTAATATTTCCTCTATTTCTCTGCATGTTTGCTGACTGTGGCTCCAAAGTCCTTGTGGCCAATTCAATGTGAACTAGGAGTTCACTCCTTGGGGTTCCCAGGGACACGTGTGAAGACAGGGGGGTCAGCCTTCTCCACAGTGTTGTTTTCTTGAACCAAAGCAACCCTTAGAGAGCTGTTGTCCCATAGGAGAACTCGTAAGAAAGTTTTGCCAGTGGGCCAATAGATGTTTCCAGCAGGGAACTCCCAGAACGTGTCCATTGATGGGAAGGACTTTGAGTGTGACTCGGTCCTCAGCTTTAAGATACTGTGAACCACTTACTTGGGAGTCACTCCTGCTGCATCTGGTGGGGCTTTCTTCTGAGGAACTGGGCAGCTGAAACTGACTGCTAGCATCGCTTGGGTCTAATCCTGTTCCGCAGAATATGTGGCACGGGAGTGGCTTGGCGAAATGGAACACTGTTGTGTTTCTCTTGGTCACTCTTGATCTTTTGTTTGTTTTCTTCTAGTTCTGCACGGCGAGCGCTCTATAAAAGATGCACTATTACCGGTATTCTTCTGCTGAAGTCAGCTGTTGGTACAAATACCTGCTCTTCAGTTACAATATAATATTTTGGGTAAGTATGCATTGGCGGTGTTAGCAGTGCCTGTGTGGTATCTAACATGGCGGTGGACCTTTAAATGGACGTTTCGCTCTATTCAAATCAAAGAGATTGGCTTATAAGTAGGCAGTGCGATAGGCATCTAAACACAGTGGCATCTCATCTTATGAAATCGCGTGTTGGTGGAGTCCGTTTTCTCTCCTCTTCCCTCCCTCCTCCTGCATTTCAGGTCCTGAAACTGAAAATCCAAGAGGCTACTGATAGCTAGTATGGTGCTTCTTGATATTGCCCCTTTAATAGAAGCCTGGCACATAGGGAACGTAGCCGAGGAGACTTTCCCCACATTTCCAGGCTTGGGAAGGTTTAGTCTGCTTAATTTCTTCTTGCCAGGCTGTGGTTTTGGAGCACAAGAATAGGACCAGAATGAAAAAAGTAGCAATTTGAATATCGAGGGAGGTAGATGAATGAGTTGACCTTTAGTGGCACAGTGGTAGAGTATCTGCTTCGCTTGCAGAAGGTCCCTAGTTAAACCCTGTGCATCAACAGTTAACAGGATCAAACAGGAGACAATGTGAAAAACTTCTGCAAGACAGAGTAGACAAAGACCGACGTCGGTAGACCGGTGTTCGTTCTTGGTATAAGGCCGTGTCATGTGCCCGTCCCCAAGCCATGCAAAAATCGACATGGTAGTGGTGGAATTATGGTGACCCCGTAGTGTAGGTGGTCACTCTCTGCATAGCAACCCCTGGACTTCCTTGGTGGTCTCCCATCCAGATACTAACCAGGACCGACCCTGCTTAGTTTCCGAGAGCTGACAAGTTTGGATTAGCCTGGGCTGTCCAAGTCAGGGCGTAAAGCACAACAAATTGGGCAACGTACAACTGAACCGTCATATAATCCCATAGCCCCCCAAAATATTGATCAAATGTACTGTAAAAAGCATGGAGCTGCGGTGGCTCAAGTGGTTAAGACGCTGAACTGCAGGCTGTGGAAGGTCGGTAGTTCAGCAGTTCGAGACCCAAGTGTGCCGCATGACGGAGCAAGCTCCCGTCTCTAGTTCTAGCTCCTGCCAACCTAGCAGTTCAAAAGCAAGAAATCGCAAGTAGATAAGTAGGTACCACTTCGGTGGGAAGGGAACAGCGTTCCGTGCGCTTTGGTGTTTAGTCATGTCGGCCACGTGACCACGGAAATGTCTTTGGACAGCGCTGGCTCTTCGGCTTTGAAACGGAGATGAGCGCCGCAACCCTAGAGTCGGACTCGACTGGCTTTCGAGCAAGGGAACCTTTACCTTTACTGTAAAAAGCATGGTCGCAGTTGTGCTGTTTTTTCTGATGGTGGTGGGTTCCAATTGCGTCAAAGGTAACCAAAAAAAAAAAGAAAAAGAAAAAAAGACCAAGTAAGTAGTATGAAAACAAGAGAAACCAGAGGGCAGCTGAAAGTGTTGCGTGAACAGGCTCCACCCCCAACTGGAACAAATTTCCCATTTGGAATAGCGTCTGTGTGGCTTCTCCCGCAAGGCGAGGGATATAATTCGAAACAAACAAATAAATGTATGGGGACAACTGTGCTGCCAAGTGATTGTGCGATATGTTCCTTCGTTAGTTTCAGAGGGTAGCCCTGCTGGCCTGCAGCAAAGCAGAGCTCCCTGCATCAGCTCTGCTGAAGGGGTCTTTGACTCTCAAAGGCTTATACCCTGAAAAATCTTGTTAGTCTCGAAGGGGCTACTGGACTGAAACCTAGATAGCCCGTAGTTGTGTACCCAGATCTCCAGTCTTCCAGAAATTTAATGTGTGTGTGTGGGGTGGAGGTATTAACTCGGTGCTTCACAAGCGTTCTATGAAGTGTGAATGTGTAAGCAGAGATAGGGAAACGTCAACCTGTGTGGTGTGGTTGTAGTGGTTAAGAGTGTGGGACCTGAGAGACCTGGGTTCTAATCCCCACTTGTGCCATGGATGCTCGCTGCGTGGCCTCGAGCCAGTCTCACTCTCTCAGCGTAACCTACCTCGCAGGGTTCTTCTTCTTCTTCTTCTTCTTCTTCTTCTTCTTCTTCAGGAGGAGGAGGGGGGGATATTGGATTTATACCCCGCCCTTCATTCAGAGTCTCAGAGGGGCTGACAAACTCCTTTCCCTTCCCCTCCCCACAACAGACACCCTGTGAGTTAGGTGGGGCTGAGAGACCTCTGAGAGAACAGCTCTGATAGAACTATGGCTTGCCCAAGGTTGTCCAGCAGCTGCGAGTGGAGGAGTGGGGAGTCAAACCCGGTTCTCCCAGATTAGAGTCTGCGCACTTAACCACTACTCCAAACTGGCAAACTGGGAAAGGCTTATAATTTGATAAATGACATCTGCTTTTGCTTTCTTTGTTCGAATAACCACAGAGCTTTCGTCCAACGAGGCTCACTTGCCTCCAGTCAGAACTCTGAAGCTTTATGGCTTTAGAACAGGTTATTTGATCTGTGTCCAGATTTCATTTCTTTTGTCCTCTGCCTATATAACAAGGGACCCGGATGTGCCCTTCCCAATAACTTGTGTGCCACAGAAACAAGTATTGTCTTGAACCCAATAATGTTCCGGCAAAGCTTTTGAACAAAGGGTGCCTAACTCGGGTGTGGTCGTGTGTGTGTGTGTGAGAGAGAGAAACTTTGGTTCGTTTGCTTGTTCAGTGCATTTACACCCTTCCTTTCTGTCACAATATCCTGCAGGATTTATACCCTGCCTTTCTGCACTCCTTCCCAAGGCAGCCCACAGATTAAAAACAGCCTTAAATAAAAACTCGCTTTAAAGAAGAAGAAGAGGAGATTGGATTTATACCCCGCCCTTCACTACCCAAAGGTGTCTCAGAGCGGCTCACAAACTCCTTTCCCCTCCCCGCTCCACAACAGACACCCTGTGAAGTAGGTGGGGCTGAGAGAGCTCTTGATAGAAACTGCTCTTTTTCAAGAACAGCTCTTATCAGAGCTACGGCTTGCTCAAGGTCATCCAGCCCGGTGCAAGTGGAGGAGTGGGGAATCAAACCCGGCTCTCCCAGATTAGAGTCCGTGCACTTAACCACGACACCAAACTGGCACCAAAAAAAAAAGCAAACCATGAAAACGAACCAAAAATAAAACCAAATTAAAATACAAACATAATAAAAGTATATGTACATTAAAAATAACCATTACAAACAGGGCAAGAAGGAGGGGTCACCGAGGGAATGCTAGATGAAGTAAGAAAAGTTTTCACCCACCAGTGGAAAACAGCAGCAGAAGGGTGACTAGAATCTGGAATCTGCCGCCAGAGGATGTAGTGGTGGCCACAGGAATAAACAAAAGGGGATTAGGTAGGTTCACGGAGGGGAAGGCCTCAGCCTCTGTGCCCTGTTGTTGGCCCTCCGGAGGAAACGATTGGCCACTGTGTGGAACAGGATGCTGGACTAGATAGATCAGGGGTGTCAAACATGTGGCCCGGGTGCCAGATGAGCCCCCCAGAGGGCTTCTGTAAGGCCCGCAGTGGAACTGGCCATCTCCTGCTTCCAGTTCTGCTGCTGCTGCTGCATCATAGCTTGCTTCGCCAGACTCTCTTAGTCACTCAGCCATTTCATGTTTTCCCCTGGGTCCCAGACTCAGAACTCTGAGCATGAGATTTCTGCGGTGAATGTCAATAAAGCAAAAGTAGGTTTGCAGTTTACAGATACACCTTTGAGCAGCATTCTCAAGATTGCAACAGCACAGACATTTTGATGCAATGATTCAGAGCAAGAGGTGTCATTTATCAGATACTGTTAAGTAAACAAAATATTGCAAGAGTGCTAATGGTTTAAGTTAAAAAAAAATCTTTGTGTTTGTGTCCTTTATAAAGTTTATATCTCCGCTACCTGGCATTAGGAGCTGCGGTGGCTCAAGTGGTTAAGACGCTGAACTGCAGGCTGTGGAAGGTCGGTAGTTCAGCAGTTCGAGACCTGAGTGTGCCGCATGACGGAGTGAGCTCCGGTCTCTGGGCCCAGCTCCTGCCAACCCAGCAGTTCGAAAGCAAGAAATTGCAAGTAGATAAATAGGTACCACTTCGGTGGGAAGGTAACAGCGTTCCGTGCGCCTTGGTGTTTAGTCATGTCGGCCACATGACCACGGAAACGTCTTTGGACAGCGCTGGCTCTTCGTCTGTGAAACGGAGATGAGCACCGCAACCCTAGAGTCGGATTCGACTGGCTTTCGAGCAAGGGAACCTTTACCTTTACTATAAAAAGCATGGTCGCAGTTGGAACCTTTACCTTTTTACCTGGCATTACATTTTATGACACGCATGGCCCGGCCCAAAAAGGTCTAATTTATGCGAGATCCGGCCCTCATAACAAATGAGTTCGACACCCCTGAGATAGACCATTGGTCTTGATCCATCAGGGCTGTTCTTATGTTCTATGTGGCTTCTGTAGGATATTTCTTTCCCCGTTTTTAATTATCAACATGCCTCTTTGGTGTATGGCTTATGGGCTGTTAAAACCCGAATAAAGTGAAGGAAGTGCTCCTTTTTTGCTGTCAAGTTGCAGCTGACTTATGATAACCCCATCAGATTTTCAAGGCAGGAGACGTTCAGAGGTGGTTTTCTATCGCCTGCCTCTGCAGAGCCCCCCTGGACTTCCTTGGAGGTCTCCCAGCCGAGTACTAACCGGGCCCGACCCTGCTTAGCTTTCCAAGATCTGACAAGATCAGGCCAGCCTGCGCCATTTAGGTCAGGGCAAGTGCTCCCTTACTGGTTTGTAAAGGCCAGCGGCCGCTCGCTTGTGTCAAAGGGCCATCCCAAGCATAGACTGAAACTTTCAGGTGCCCTCTTCTTTTTTGGTCCGGGAAGTTTTATGCACTGAACTTCAACTCCCCATTTTATGGTCATTAAGTATTTGTTGTTGTTGTTCAGTCGCACAGTCGAGTCCGACTCTCCACGCCCCCATGGACCAGATCACGCCAGGCCCTCCTGTCTTCCGCCGTCCTCTGAAGTTGGCTCAATTTCATGCTCATTGCATCGATGACACTGTCTAACCA